GTGCCTAGCTGCCACTCCATCTTGAGGAAGCATGAGGATTGATCTAATGTTTAGGCCTAATAATATTTCTTTGGGTGCGTGAGCACCTAGTTGAAAGGAATTGACAGTCAAACTCCACTGAACGTGGGGCAACGACTCTCTTTCTGGATAGACGAACGTACAAACCGCAGCGCTTTCTACAAATAGTATTCCATAAGTGGCGCCGAGATTGCTCAAAACTGAGCAACGTATTTTTATTTGAATGCACAAGCAAATTTTTGTTCATTGTGTTCAATCTTTGGGTCGACAGGCTTTCGGTGCCTAGCTGCCACTCCATCTTGAGGAAGCATGAGGACTGATCTAATGTTAGGTTGCCTAAGCCTAGACAAGGACAGTCGAAATATCAGGGTTGGTTTCGAAACATGTTTTGGGCCTTAACTGTTGAGCTATTTCGCGCGCTTTGTTGATTTCAGCTGTTTTGATTGTGAGAACGAAAACAAACGTTGATCCATTTTGGTCCTGTTTTGTTGTATACTGGTCAACAGTCTTATCCTATCTTATTCATTTCTTTACTCGTCTTGAACAGACGCATAATAAATGCAGTGAAGCATATCTAGTGTGTCCCACCTCCCCGTGTCCTTCTCAAGATGACGAGTCATGTTTGCTAGCCCCTGTACTTCAGAGCAACACTCCAACTGGTAGAGTGAATGAATCTCTTCTGCTGGCTTCTCAAAACAGAGCTTGGGATAGCTAACTGGTTAAGGCGCGAAGTCACTGAGCTAAGGGTGCGTGGTTCAAACTCAATCCGGGGCCATCTGGCTTTATCTCAGTTCCCGCGTTTTCTCCGGCTGGTGTGGCAGCTAGTAACTGAAAGGGTAGTGTCAACTGAACGGTTATTTTCCATTCAAAGCAACAGTCAAACTAAGTCTCCTTGTTTGCATGAGAAGCTCATTGCAAAGAAGTGATGTACCGGGCACTATGTGGGTACATCTGGTGGATTAATGTTCTGGTTCAATGAACGCTTGGCGCATTTTTGGTCTTAGTTAACGTCTGCACACCTTTGATTACTGTATAAGTGATAGCATACTAGACTCGCTGGCAGACAGCCAGGTCTGCCATCCAGGCCAGATCACTTTTACCTGTATATAATGGTTCAAGAAAAAAGTAACTACAGCTGAAATCGACAGGATTTAGTGCTTAACTAAAGCCCCAAGAAGACGGTGGACGTAAACCTGAGGTGGCACACCCACAACCTAGACAATCCACTGAGTCACCATTCTGGTCAGCGTTATGTGATGTCACATCGCTGTTGAAGAATGCATGTCTTTAAATCCTATATGAGCGAGGGACGCAAGAGCACTGTTTCACAACTTTTAGGCAGGTGATTGGGTGCACTGCTGATTTGCTTCTTGTGACCATCAGATAAGTACCTGCGAGTTCAAGTATACCTCTCGAGGGTCCTCAGATGTGTGCCGACGATGTCTGAGGGTTAGGAAAACATCCCTGCAAGCTTCTTTCCAGCCTTCAATGAACTTCCACTGTCTGGCAGGTGGAAATCTGCTAGCTATATCAATCCTGTCACAATCTGTCACTGAAACACAATTCACCGTGCGGGTAACCGAAATTAAACAAGATTAAAACTAGCAGTCTGTGGACGCCTACACTGTAAAACCGGAAACAGGATTGCGCCTGATACATGTTCTAGGTTGGTGACGGTGCAACCACGCAGCGGTAGTTCTTGTTTGGTGATAAATTAACACGTTCAGAGAGGGATTCTAAATATAGACTATACATCTGATTGTCAGAAACGAATGCATAGGTTCGTAAGTTGTTTGAAATTCCAACACTACACTCCGGGATGTAGGTAGATCGCTCAACCTTGAATAGGTCCTCCAGTTCAGAAGTGATAATCCAGCTGCATCCAGCAGGCTCCAATAGGGTAAAGTAATTACTATGGATGTCAGATTTTCCGAGTTCAAACACGGGCACGGCTGATTAGCTCCAACAAGTGGGAAAGTTGGGTCCGGTGGTTCCTCCTTTGTGTGAGTGAACTTAGTATAATGACTGGTTTAGGACATAGTGAGGACTGTTCAAGCAAGAGCAAGGTGAACAGAATGATCGATTATGTTGTAATTAATTTACCGCCGATAAGTGTTCACACACACTCAATTCCACATGGTATTCCAGCAAGACAATTTTTCGCAAACACCGATAAAACGAATCTGTTATATCTGCTGATTCGCCAATTTGTTGTGTCTGACTTCGGACCCGCTCCAGTGCCTAATGCCGGAAAAAAGACTCACAGGAGGGAACTAAACAGCTGTATCCCGAACAGGCGAGCGCGAGAGCGTGAGAGCATGAGAGTGCAAAAGTACAGCGGCCTCAAACTACTTATTGAAGGGAGACTGTCAGAACTTGGTACAATGCTGACGCACACGGTCTGGCTTTGGTACGAGGCTGCGATGCGCTGCATATTGCGGGGGTGTTGTTAACATCTAGTGGAGCTGAGAGTCTCGATATGGTTCCGGCCACTCAGTGGCTACTTTCAGGAAGCCAACCTTCCTGATAGAATCCCTTCACAGACGCCGACCATCTGTCTGACATGTGATCATCTCGAATTGTCCGATATAAAGATGCAAGTGAATCAGGAAACTAGACTATTCGGAATCTTTGTTGATGGAGAAACTTCATCCAATGACGTTACACAATATAACCTTTTCTTAGCTCACGTGTTACTACCGAACCTGGCTTTTTTTAAGTGATTTCCAACCGAGTTACTTTCTGTTTTTATTCACTGTAGCTTGCTAACACACGAGATACATAAAACGTAAGGAAACTTACATGACAAGTCCGAACCTGTGCTACCTAAATTTCAGTTTTGAAGTAGACATGAACACACTTATGTTAGTGCCATCGTTTCAACACACAGTATTTGCAAAAAAAGAACCAGTGCCTGAGCATTTGTCTGCCTCAAAGACATCTCGGTTACTTTTATCGGTTAGATACTCCATAAAATCTCGTCTTTTGGCAACTTTATTGCTGTGTAAAAACTACATAGTTGGTTTTCAGTGGTCTTTATCCTCTAACCAAGCGGACAACACGACAGCGTTACCACCTACCTCCGGAAGACAGCGAAAAACTCCATACAGTATTCGCTTTTGTAACAACCAGTCTATTGGGTGATGACTTTGAGGAATTGTGTTACTCCCCTCTGCTGCTTACATGTGGTCTCTCATCAGACGGAAGATTTCGTCTATAATCTTTCAGACAGACACAAACACATCAGCTAAAAAAAGCACTACAGACAATGTCAACCTGGGCTCAAGTCCGGACTTACTTGAACTGGCGCTTCGACCTTTTTAATAAAAACAGAAGAGTTTTGTTCTGTTTCGTCATGAATTTGTTCGTCAATCAACAAACTGTTACAGATTTACCTACCCTGTACACCGGTGTTTTGGCCCCCATTGTTTTTCACTGCATTTAGGGCTCTAGCAACCCAATACAGCCTTATCTCTCCGAGTGTGTATTACAGCACATAACTAACCTCCACATTACCGTGAATTGTTATTAGAACGAAACGCTGGTCCGTTTGGAACAAGTATAAGCCTCAGTGAATGGGAGCACGGAGCTATTTGCTATATGAAGAAACACAGTGATATCAACTCAGTCGGCAATGGAACTCTGTCAGTACGGCTCACATGCTCAAACAAGGATAGTATCTGATCTCTTAAGGACGTAGAAGAGTCCTACCAGATGGCAGTACGTGATACATAAGGCCAATAGTACACTCAATACATTGAAAAGTTCATCACCGATTTCGGTGTTCTGACTTTGTTCAGTTGCACACTTATATTAACTTGACAATGCAGATGGGCTGAGTCGGACCGTCTGGGCTTCAGTACTTGTTAGTCGGGCCACTACTCAACCTTTAGTGAGCCACTGGCTGTGTGGACATTCGGTTGTTCTTTGACATCCCTCTATTCTGTGTGAATAGGGACAGAAACAGAACGGAAGTGCAAGCAACCATGGGAATGCTCGAAGTTGGAATCCAGTTTATTCAACATCCAGTCAAGCTGACACAAATTTGAAATCAGTTTGACATGAGTAGAGTCAAAACACAATCACTTTATTAGCCTTAAACGAACCTATTTGGATTTGGCAGCGAAACTTGGTAGATCGAACTATTCTAAAATGCACTTCTTGTATAAATTATTGGCGTGGTGAAATTCCTCATTAAGCGGTAGCTAAAGATATATCCATGACAAGCTGACTCTCTTTCTTACTAAGAGACAACAAACACTAAGCTAATTTTCGTCTGCAGAGAATCGTGAAGGTTGAGATCAGAGCAACTAGGCGAAAAAAGGTTTACCGATTGCCGATGGAAGTAACTCGTGAGAAAACCAAGGTTTCAAGCTTTGGTCTGCTATCTATTTTTGCGCCCAAAAGGACTTCTGTCACAAGCTGCAGTTGGGAAGCAGCACTCGGTCACAAGTCATCATACCGAGGTGACCTCAGCGTTCTTCATTTCGATCTGCCACAAGAACTCAGCGCTGCCAAAGTCGCTGAGGACTCCGGGGCCGATTGATTCAGATCTTCATTGTATCCGGAAAAACTCGATATAACTCCTGGATTATCTTGGACGTGACATGCATATAAATCGGTCTGTAACTACGTTACTATCCCTACTTTTGCACGGACTTGAATAATTTTGTTCTGGTAATGTGTTGGAATATTGGTAGCTCGGGTGTATTAGTTGGCAATTGATCAGGTGGCTGTTGATCTGTTCGCCGAGCCACAAACCAACAGAGAAGCCGACCACGAAGCAATACACATCGAGAACGGGCCAATCGAAAAAGGCGACAATAAACGGCAAGAAATACAAACCGCAACACAACACAGATTAAGATCGGACCAACCAGAACCCACGTTACAGCGCAAAGGCTGCTCTTTGGAGACTATATAAACGCAGGCACGAAGAGAGGAGCTACCCAACCAACAGCGCACTGAAGATATCTCCTCGTATGGTGACGAAACGTTTGCAAATCAATTGCCAAGCTCGGCGAACAGATCACACCCGATGCGATGAATTACCAATTTTGTTTTTTTTTTGTTATGGGAAATTTGGTACCGGTGGCCAATGTGAAGTACCGGTTTCTATCCTCTAACTGAAACGCTTGCGAAAGCTTTGGTCAGCATATGTTTGGAATCCCGAATTGACGATTCTTCTAGTCTAGTGAAATCATGTCATGTAAGAAAATAGCTTTTTGGTACACATACCCTAAATTACACCAGCAGACATTCAAAATACCATATATATAAACTATACACTTTATGCTCTACCAACTGAGCCACCGCGGACACAACCACCTCACGGACATCCAAACAAGTTCCATAATAATTTGCCACAACTGAGTCTGGCGCTTTCCAAAAATTTTCCGATAACTGAAGAGAATTGCGGAGTTTGTTTAATGTTTCCAGCTCTTTCCTGTTTGAACAGTATCCATCCTGTTCCGGTGCCAATATTCAAGTTATTTTACTGGTGATTCTCCTTCGTCATATAAAGAGTAAGCAAACTTTTGGAACCTGTTTCAATGAGCCTTGCTGTGATACTAGCAGACGACGAACAATCGAGTCCCTCGTGAGAACCGAATTTATTTGCAAATGAGTTTATTTCACGAAAACAGTGCAATTTGGGTTCAAGTAAATCATAAGGTTGACGGAAACTCGGGGACTGCGCCCACCTGATGAGCTGTGAGAAGGGCGAAACCGGTCGTGGGCTGTCGAAGAGTTTTCAGCAACCTTGTGAGTAGTTTCCTTTATGAAAACAATCGAGTTTGTTTAAACTATTATTTTATACTTTGTATCATTCTTGTGAAAGACGAAACAGATATTGTTACCACGATATTTTAGATAGAAAAAAACAACTTACTTCTGAATTCTACATTCCGATCCAAATAGGCTTCCCAAACTCTTTCTGGGGAAAAAACGAGAAATGACGACAGAATTTTGTGAGTCTTCTTTGTAAATAAAAGGTTGCTAGGATTCTGTTTGGTTTTGTCTCTACAGGACAGTAACCGATTTCGCTACGATATAAAATGTCTACCCTAGTTTGTTGTATTTGCGTTCCCAATCAAAGGCGAATTATTGGATTTTCCTTACTTATTCACGGTTAGCACAACTTCTAGAAAGCTGTACCCTCCGCGCAGCTATATTGCTCCGGATTCTTGCTAAATAGAAGCGATCCGAAATTTGATCTGATGTGTCACCTGAGACAGTATGGCCTTTCTTCGTGGCCAGCCCATGGACTCATCTGTTTTGCACTGGTGCCTTCTCTCAGGAGCAAATTTGCCACTGATCTGTTCAAATTCAGACAAGTTTGCCAAACGCATTACACCCAGGAATGCCATCTTGAATGTATTGCGTAACTGCACCTTGCAGAAAACAGGT